AATTTTAAGGTGACTCCCACAGTATAGCACTTAACTCTTGTTCGATTGGTGATCACTTTGATACTAATTATAGAGATCTGCATCTAACTTATAAGTTATTATCTGTTTTGACTAAAGGTTTCATATTTTTATCTTATAAACATATCTCACTAAATTTATGTCTAAGTCTTTACTTATTTATTATAATTGATCGTCAGAATATCAAAATATAAGATTGGAGTGTCACAATAATAATGAAAAAGGATGCAACGCAAGGACCCATATAAATGAAATTAACTAACACCTACTCTAATGTTGTGCAATATTAATAGTATTAATAGTATATTGCACAAATACAACAAATTTAGTTGACAAATAATAAATGGATAACATTCATTTCATTGTTTTATTTATTTTTCATGTTAATGTTCTAAATAAAATGGATTAATAGAACTTTCAAAAAAAAAAAAAAGAAAAGATACATTAATAGAATTTATTTATGCATTTATGTGATTAAAAACTAAAAATTGTTAAGGTTTCATTTGCATTTATCATTCATGTTCATATTTCCATTAAAATATTTCAAAGTTTTTCAACTTTTTCAAAACTTTAGCTTGTTTTGGAAGTGGTTTAAATTACGTTTATATAAGTGGCATTTTCTTCTATTTTTGACTACCAACATATGATTTTAATTATTACTTAACAATGAGAAAAAAAATTAATTATCAATATGAAAATATACAATCAAAAAATTATTAATAAGAGAAATTAATCTATAAACTTGTTTTTATCATGATTAATACATATTTAATAAATTTTTTAAAAAAGCATGCATAAAAATTATTAAATTGTAATATAAATTAGAATTTGAGTCATTCATTATGTGAGTTTTTTTTTTTTTTTAAATTGAAAAGAAAAATATAGATAGACAATTTTTTTGTAAAAATGAGTAATTTTTAAAATTTTTTTAAATAAAAAATATTTTATAATAAAAATTCAAAAAAAAAATCTCTAACTTTATTTATAGTTATTCCTAGGTTACTTCTATAACTTTTTCAATTGAAATTCATTGAAAAAAAACTAGTTAATAAAATATAATAGCATCAGTGATCCTTAAAATTTGAGTTGAATTCTATTTTAACCCCTAATTTAAAAAAATATATATCTAATTTGATACTCAATTGCTCAAAATTATTCTATTTTGATCATTTTATTTATAAAACCATATAAATTGAATTAGTTCAAAATTCAGTGACCAATGATCTGTTATCTTAAAATTGTATAAATTTCACATATATTTTATAAAATATTGAATTTAAAATAATATATTTATATTTTTACTATAATATAATTTATTTGGCGGATTTTTTTTGTTTTTTAATAGAAAATAAATTTTTAAAAAATTAAAATTAACTTAAATTTTTTTCAAATTTCTTTTTAAAAAATTATATATCATTTATAAACAAAAAATATTTTCTATTAAAACATTATCTTACTAATAAAACATAATAAAAAAACATATGATTTTGTGTCAAAAAATCTATTATTTAATAAAATATTAAATATCTTTTATTTTTCCTTTTTCATGTATATTTTATAAAATATACTTTCTATTAAAAATATTATTTTAGATAAATCATATCATAAGAAAAAATATAAAATATTTTAAATTATAATATTTTATAAAATATACTTGAAATATAAAAAATAAAATATTTTCTTTAATTATTTTATTTTTCCTTTTTTATTTATAAAAGATATTTGAAAAAGGAAAATAAAAGGTATTTATTATTTTAAAAAAATAGGTTTTTTTGGATAAGAATATTTTTTATTATGATTAATGAGTAAAACAATATTTTAATAGAAAATAAATTTTTAAAAAAATGATATGCAATTTTTTAAAAGAAGGAATTTGAAAATTTTAATTTAATTTTAAATTTTGAAAATCTATTTGCTATTAAAAACAAAAATCTAACTAATAATTTATATTACAAAAAAATAAAATTATTATTTTAAATTTAATAATTTATAAAATATATATAAAATACTTAAAATTTTGATATAGTTTCATCCTTGGTTTCTAAATTTTGAGAAATTTCTATTTTGGTATCTCATTCGGTACGTAACATGCTAGCTAATACAATCAACATGACACCAAAAGGTATTTACTGTCAATTTAGACGGCCAAAATATATGATAACTTTGAGCAATTGGGGATTCAATTATAACTTTTTAAATTTTAGGGACCAAAATAAAATTTAGGTTAAAGTTTTGGGATTATAGGTATTATTAACTCATAGAATACTGAAAAGTTGCAAAAATAACCTAAGAATGATTGATTCTCTTTTAAGGGGCATTTGATTTGTATAATCTAAGATTCCCTTAAAGAATTTTATTTTTCGTAATGTAATTCTTATATTTGATTTGCGAAATCTAAAATTCCCCAAATCCAATACTTTTAATAGTGTCAAGAATGAAAAAAATAGTTTGGAATCAAAAGCCCTTCCCTTTTTTAGGTTTTTAATATTCTTAGTGAAAAGCAAAATTTATTTCATTATTACATTGAATAATTGGTTTTTTTTTATCAATTATACCCTTCAATATCACAAAAATTACATCATAAACTAACACCGAATCTAACATGCACATAACAAAATATTTATTTTTAGTTGATAAATTTTTTTTTATTTAGTAGACTATGTTTCTCATGATAAATATAGTCATTTAAATAAATATACTACATCTATTTTTTTTAATAATAGGCAATTCTTTTAAAACATAGTCTAATATGATAATAGATTACGGCATTTGGAATAACCTAGGGAAGTTTTCAAAAATTGAAAATTTTGGTGAATAAAAAATCTTAAAATTACTTGAAAGAGAAAGGAAAAATGGTAGAAAATTTTCACAAATACAAAAAAAAGAAACCCCTAAAAAAGAGAAAAGGCTTTCAACTTTGTTTTAACAAAAAAATAGGGATTTTTCTTTTGTGCAGTTATTTGCATTAGTTTCACCTTAATCGAGTTCTAGGAACCCATTAACTCTTTGAACTGAACCGAAACCCAATTCTAACTCCAATTTCTTCACTTTCAACATAGATCAAATCTACTTCTACTTTAAAAACTAAAAACCCTCATTCTCCTCTTCATCATCCTTCCTTTCTGTATCAATCTTTTCCCTTTTGATCTTCTTGAATTTTGTGGTTTCAATCTTGATGCTTTTGATTCAAAGGATTGGATGGGGTCGATGCTCCAATTACAAGTGCTTTCAATTACTTTGCTTTGGGTCTTTTAAATAAGGGTTAAATATAAAATAGCTCCCATACAGAAGTGCTTTCAATCACTTTTGGTAATATGTAATCTAAAGAAATAAAATAAAAAGTCTAGTCAGGCCATATCATTTATTATTATGTCAACATTAAAAGAAAATTTCAAAAAAATTTTAAAATATATAAAATATTTTTCAAAATTATAAAATTAAAAAATTATGAAAACTAAAAAAATTCAAAAAATATAAAAATTTTAATAAAATGAAAAAATAAAAAAAATATATTTTTGAAAAAATTTAAAAATTTTAAAAATCTAAAATTTTAAAAAAATCTAAAAATTAAAAAAATTATTAAAAAAATTAAAAATATTCTAAAAGATTAAAAAATTTTAAAAAATTCTTAAACATTTAATTAAAGTTTAAAAAAAAATGCATAAAAATACATAAAATAAATTAAATTAAATTAAAGATTAAAAAAGAAAATTTTTCATAAATTTTGAAAATTTTTCTTTACAATTTAAAAAAAAAATAGATTTCTTATAAAAAATTTAGTGAATCTTTTTTTTTTTTGAATTTTAAGAAAATTTTATTTGTATTAAAATTTTTATTTTTAAGTCTTTTTTGTATTTTTATTAAAAATTTGAGTTTTTTTTTTTGTTTTTTATGTTTTCATTATTTTTTTTAAATTTTTAAATATTTTAGTTTTTAATTTTTTTATCATGTAAAAAAATTTTAGATTTTAAAAAAAATTTTAGAATATTTTTTAATTTTTGTGAATAGTTTTTAGAAATTTTTTTTTAATGTTGGTGTAAGAATTGATGATGTGATACTGACTGAATTTTTTTATACATATCAACATCTTATTATATGTTAATGTTAATTAGTAAGTTGATAATAGCTTTACTTTTAGGTACCAAAATAGATGAAAAAATGAAAGTTGAAATATGATATTGAAAATTTTATTTTTTTAAGTATTAAATTGATAAAAAATATATAATAGAGGAGTTGTTTTTATATTTAACTCTTTAAATAATAAAAAAAGTTAAAATTTTCTTATTTTATTCTGTTTTAGGTCTTTTAAATAATAAGACAGTTGTTTTTATAAATGTGGTCTAATACAAATAGGCGATAGTTAGCTAATATCAACTATAATTTACATGCAAATAGATGATGGTTGTTTTTAATAAACATAGTCTATTATTAAATTTTATATTAAGAAATTGAATATTTTTCATATTTAATTTATTAAATTAACTAGATGTATTAAATTATCTATAACATTATGTATATATATTTGACACGCAATGTATAAAGAATATATTAATGAATTATCAAATTGATATATATATATAATTTATATAAATATATAAATTAATTTAATTAAATCATTTGTAAAATAAATAAGTTATAAAAATATTAAATAAATAATTTTATAAATATTACGTATATAAAAAATAATATAATAAAAAATTCACTAAATAATGTTATATTTCGTAAGCAAAATACAAAATTTATAGTTTTTAAAATCAACATAACACACAATCACCTATTTTCCTTTACTGTCACTTCCCAAAATCACATATTTTCGAAATTTAAAAGTCTACAAACCAAATGACGCATCACTGATTAATTCCTGCCGTTGGATTTAAGTACCTGATCATCTAGCGCGTGACACCCAAGTCCCCTTCAAGGGTTCCAAAAACAGAAACCAAAAAAAGCCCATCTTTCCAATTTTATCCTTCATAGTTACTCAAAATTACAACTTTAAAGTCCCTCAATAAAAACTACGACCATTCCCCCAACACTTTTACGCTATATAAAACACAGCTCAGTTCCTTCTCTCACAAAAAGTTTCCTTCCTACAAAGAAAAAAAAATGGAGAAACCATTTGTGGAACCGTGGAGGCCTGAACCGGTGCCGTTGCGGTTCCGGCCACCGGAGATACCACGTGAACCCATGGAGTTCTTGTCACGTTCATGGAGTGTTTCGGCTTTGGAAGTTTCAAGGGCTTTAGCTCCTACGTCTTCGCAAGCTGCTGGTTCTCATCAAATGTTTTTAGAAGGTTCTTCGAGTGGTAACGTTGTTATACAAGAAGACATAGCGGGTGAGCTTGAAGACAGTGGCATAGTTTCGGGCAACCCTTTCTCTTTTGCTTCTTCTGAAACTTCCCAGATGGTCATGGAGAGAATCATGTCACAGTCGGTAAGTGTAGCAGAACAACCCCCATGTAAAGACGAGTTTTTTTTTTTTTTAAGGTTTTGGTTTTTAGTTTTAACTTTTTTCTTTTCAGTTTTGTTTTGTTATTTCTGAAGGGGTGTTTTTTAAAATGTTTCTCGTTTTGGTTTTCAACATCTGGGTACTTTTCATTTTCTCCGTTTTGGATTGTTCTGCTTCATTCAAACAAAATAAAGTTTTTTGCTTTGTTTTTTATAGGAACATTTATGGACTTGTGCAATAATTAAATCTTTCAATCTCTTAGAAGTTCCGTTTTCTTTGTTTCTTTTTTTTTCCCCTTTTAAATCTCTTTTTGAAGGTTTTCTGTTGTCTCCTTTGTGTTAGCAGCAAGAAGTATCTCCAAGAACATCAGGGAGGCTATCTCATAGCAGTGGACCATTAACTGGAGCTCAAAGCTGTGGTTCCTTGACAGATAGTCCTCCAGTTTCCCCTTCAGAGATTGATGATGTTAAGGTTTGTTTTAAGTTCTTAACTCATATAACTTCCCTTAAAACATGGTTGCATTCAATTAATAATTTGGTAAAATGAAATAAAACCAAAAGGAAAAAGCATTAGAGGAATTATTTTGTAGTTAAGTGTTTGTTTCTTGACACCTTTAGGCAAGAACAGAGCACGGATTGAGTTTCTGAGTCACTGACTCAGAAGCATAAATCTCAGGCTTTCTCTGTAACCAAAGCCCTCTTTTATTAATACATCCCAGACACAGAGACAGAGAGAAAAGAAAGTAAGAGTGTAACATATGGTTTTGCTTCACTTTCTTCGATGTAAAATAAATTGAAAAAAACATAAATGAATTTATGTTTTTTTTACTTTGTTGGAAAGAAAGCTCCTGCTTTCACTGGAGTGTTTCTACTTTGTTTAGTACTATATTTTTTCGGATTTCCAAAGTTGCCCTTGTTTGTTCTTTCAGTTTCTGTTCCAAAATATTCACTGTCCTTTTGGTAGGAAGTACGCGGGAGCGGCGGGACTCGTCGGTCCCAAAGCCCAAAGCTATTTGTTAGCATTCACCAAATTGAAAGGTTTCATTTAATGGTCTAATAGTTTAATGGTAATGGACCCAAAGAAAACAACTCAGCCTTTCAATGGCGGTGGTTAGTTGTTATAATCTTAAGAGGATTTTTTTTTTTTGAATTTTTAATCCCAACTTAAGACAATGCACTCAAGGAATGACTGGCTCACATTTACCTTTGCAGCAATTTTGTCGGGGCAGTAATTCCCTCAACACGCAGTTCCGTACAACCACAACAGTTGCGGCTACCCCTGTTACAACTGCTGTGACAGGTGGTGGAAAGACGGTGGGACGATGGCTGAAGGACAGGAGGGAGAAGAAGAAAGAAGAAACACGGGCTCATAATGCTCAGCTGCATGCTGCTATCTCTGTTGCCGGGGTTGCGGCAGCTGTGGCAGCTATTGCGGCGGCCACTGCTGCCTCCTCGAGTGCTGGAAAGGATGAGCAGATGGCAAAGACCGATATGGCAGTGGCATCAGCTGCAGCCCTTGTTGCTGCGCAATGCGTGGAGGCAGCAGAAGCCTTGGGGGCTGAGCGAGAGCATTTGGCCTCCGTAATCAGCTCTGCAGTCAATGTCCGGTCCGCTGGAGATATCATGACCTTAACTGCTGGGGCAGCAACAGGTACATAGAAATAATTCATCATCTAAGAAAATGAAATTTAGTTGTTAGAATGCATTTGTTTTTCATTTTCAAATGGAATGGTTGAATTAATTGTGGAAAATTGTTTCTGGGTGTTATGTCAGCATTAAGAGGAGCAGCCACCTTGAAGGCAAGGGCCCTGAAGGAAGTATGGAACATAGCAGCTGTTATTCCTGTGGATAAAGGTGGTGGCAATGGAAGCAATGGTAGCTCTAATGGTAGCTTTAGTGGGGAGCTTGTTCCGGAAGAGAATTTCTTGGGAATATGCAGTAGGGAATTGCTTGCTAGAGGTTGTGATCTTCTCAAGCGCACTCGAAAAGGTAATCTTCATTGATTCATGTCCCTGTTCTTTCCTCAGATTGTTGTTTGATTGTTTTGTACATTTAGTTTCATGCCTAGAAGCTGTTTATGGAAATGCATTCAAAATTAAATTGGCATAGGGAGAACAATTCTGTTTGATTTTTTCTGCTTGAGTTTGTTTCAAATTTGGCAGATGCTTGCCTTTATATGCAGGGTTTGAACGCATGTTATTCGATTTTTCCTACACTTTTTGTTTTAGTTAGCCATTTTTAGTTCCAAATGATGACAGCTTTAGCAAAACTATTGTTTTGTTTGTTTCAGGTGATCTTCATTGGAAGATTGTCTCTGTTTATATAAATAAAATGAACCAGGTATGGTTCTCTTGTTTCATAGTCATGTTTTGGAATTTGATATATTTTAATGAAAGATTAAATTGCTCAATTATTGGGGAATCGATTGTGCTTTAAATCATGTTATGAGTGTGAACCTGAGAGTGTAAAAAGCTCTGAACAAAAATTAAAATCTAAAATCTAAAAGAGCCTGATGAGATAAATAGATCCGTCTGCTGTCCATTCTTCTTTGTTCACATTCTTTTAACTCTTTTGAAACTTCTTTTTGTTCAGGTTATGTTGAAGATGAAGAGTAGACATGTTGCTGGGACCATTACAAAAAAGAAAAAGAGTTAGTGATTACTTTTGTCTTTCTCTAATAATGTGAAAATACTGAAATGGATGTATGGGTCTTTGTTCCATTTGGGGATTTGAGAAAGCTAGAGTCACTAAAGTAAAAGAAGATCAAAAGGGATTGTCTTTAATCTTTAACCTTCATCACTTTATGAATTCTTTTCTGCAGATGTGGTCTTGGAGGTGATTAAAGATATGCCGGCATGGCCCGGTCGCCACTTGCTTGAGGGTGGAGAGAATCGGAAATACTTCGGATTGAAGACAGTGATGCGCGGGGTTGTGGAGTTTGAGTGCAGGAACCAGAGAGAGTATGATATTTGGACTCAGGGTGTGTCAAGGCTCCTCTCCATTGCTGCAGAGAAGAACAATAGAAATAGAATTTGAAGCTTTGGGTACACGAGGGGAGAAATCTGACAGAAAGCGTAATTACATATTGGGGGGTTATAGGATCAAATGCCTCCATGATTTGATGAGGCTGTGATTTTTGTGTGTTTCCACTGTAAAAAAAAAAAAGTTGAAACTAAAGAAAATATTATCCAAATGGGATTGTGGGCTTTTGTTCTTTATTTTTGAACTGGAAAGAGTAAAGTGCTTCGAATCAAAGTACCCAAATCCATGTGATCCAAGTTCCATGATCTTTCACTGTTCAGCAAAGAAAACTGAGTATCTTGGACCGGGATGGTCAAAAGGAGAAGAAAGGAATCTCATTTTGGTGAAGGAATGATGATATTGGAGATGATAAAGACACCGCCGATTCTCTGTGCTTAGTATTTATATATTTGTTTTAGCTAAGCTCTTTGGTTTCGTCATTTTTTAAGAAGTTACCCTTTGGCTCTTAGATTTAGGTGTGTTACATATGGTGGGACAGATCTTCTTGATTTATAATATTTCATTTTAATATTATATTAACTAAAGTTAATCGAAGACTTTGGTGACTATTTTATTTGTCAGATTAATTGTCAGATGGATGCTGTAAATAATAACAGTCTCTGAGAAACCGTCTCAAATAATGCTTTTTCAGACTTGGATGAATCAAACATTCGGTTGAATTCAGGCTACATACAATATTTTAATTAAATTGTATAGTTGTTTGCTTTGTTAATGACAAATTGTTCTTTTTGGACTGATGAGAGTTTAGGAGCATGGGATGCTCCGATGAGTGACTTGTGATACTCTCTTCTCTATTTTTGGGGGACCACTACAATTCTGCCTTGTGCTTTCTGCCTCTATTTTTGCAGATTGTTTCAGACTTAAGTTGTGAACTATGCGCAATTTTCATCAATTCTCACTGTTCCATAAAAAATTTTGCTTTTCAATGAGGGTGAGGGATTACTTTAAAAAAAACTTTATTTGCAGCAAAAATTTTACTCATTGCAACAACATTATTAATTACACTCATATTTCAAATTAACTTTATTAAAAATTCTTCATACAATCAAGTTATTATTTTTGCACTCACATTATAATCTTCACAGCCAAAATCACCCCAAGACAAAAGGAAGGACACATGATTGAAACATGGGGAAGTATCTCCAAGTTTTTGGTACTACTAACGGGGATAAAAAAAAAATTTATAGGTATTAGAATTCAAATTTTAAATTTATTAAACATATTTTTTAAAAATAATTTTATAAATTAATTAAATTAAATTCGAATTTTTTTGGAAGTATAAGAGGGAACAAATTTCTTTTCACTTCACCGAGGCCCGAATTATCTCCCTCAAAGAGCACATACAGGGGACAAAGGATTTTCTTTGGATTAAGTAAAATTAATTAAAATGTATTTTGGGCCTGATTGTACAGCCCAAATATTATTAAAGAAAAAAAAGAAAACCTAAATTCTTTCGCCTTGTACAAGCCCAAATTATTCATTAGCGCCCCCACGTATTTTTTTTCTTCTTCTTCTTCTTTACCACTACCAGCCACTGCCCACTATTGTTTCACCGTTACCCACGTCAATGATTCTCCCTTTTTCTTTTTTTTTCATTTGTAATTATCCATTTCTCTTACCAACAGATAGTATCCATATGCCGCGCCCATCTCCGTAGCGCGGCGGCCCAAAGCCTGCACCTAGTCTCCCTTGCACCCCGATAAATTCAGCCATAGACCAGCCTTCACGCCTGCACCGACTCCAGCACGCGACGCCCGTGTCAAGCCTGTGCCTTAGCGCCGCACGCCTGCTGCCTGCAGCCCCTCACCGTAGCACGCCTGCACCCTACACCCAACTACCGGTAAATTTCTTAGTTTTTTAATTATTTTTAGGAGATAACGCTAGTTTATATTTTTAGGTTTGGCGTAAATCATTTTGTGGGTTTCCTATGGTCGTTTGGTATTGTTGTGTGTTATATAGTTTTGAAATTTTTATTTTATTTTATTTGCGTTTTATTTTTAATTTATTGAATTTGAAAACATATTTAGATAAAATGTTTTTGTTTTAGAAATGAGAAAGA